GAAAAAAAGTATAGCTTTTGATATAGTTAATTACGTATTTATTTAAGAAAAAATAAATTTTTATAAAAAATGGCTATAATTTCGTTGTTCTAGTTTTTCTCGAAATATGTATATTTTGTTCATATATCAAATGAAAGGTATTTCAATAGCTTTTCCAACAATATCCATCGGTTCATTAATTCGCGAAATATAAGCATTTGAAAATATTAAAAGATCCACTTTTGCTACCGCCTAGCGCGCCCTATTAATTTGAAGCAAAAAATTTTTAAACTGCTAGAATCAATGGAAGAAGACGAACCACGTCCACTTTTTTCTTTGCTTTTTTTAAACTTAACGCGCCCTATTCTTTACTTATGCCCAACAATTTCGAGATTTTCGGTATTGTAGGGACTTATTTCTATCGATTTTGTTATTGATTTGGTTATCGATATTTTTATAGATTTTGGTATCGATTTTGCTTTCGATATTATTTATCGAGTTTGTTATCGATAATTTTATCGGTTTCTTTTCGATATTTTTATTGATGTTACTATCGATTTGGTTATTGATACGAGGATAGCGATAAAAGTACCTAAAGATGAAGATAGAGGAAGAAAGATTAAAATAAATGTAAATACATATGAATGTATAAAGAAAAGGATATAGAGACACAGAGACTCAACCTGGGAACTATTTTCGGAATGTCGGTATTCTCGGGACTTATCGATATAATAATCCATACTTTATCGATCCTGTTATCGATTTTATTATCGGTATTTTATGGAATGTGCCATCGATAATTTTATGGGCTTTGTTATCGATATTTTTATCGATACACATGATGTGACATCATATGACAGAACATCCCTTGATATGACATCATTTGGCATGACATGTCATCCTATCACATCACTTCAAATTACATCACACGAAATCACATCACCAGGGCCGAAAAGTTTAAGCTTTTGCTTGGAATTGCTTATTTTGCTTATTCAGGGTTTCCAAGCTTAATTTTAACGATCATACTTATTTTGCTTATTTCAATGTATGTATAAAGTCAAGTACGAACCTTAAAAAAAAAAACGGTGAAGAAATGAAATGCTATTATTTCGTGTGTGTTAATTATAGCGTCCAAAGAGTTTTGACATCTGATATTTTACAGCCTGCTGTTGTACTCTTCACTAACACACTTTAGCAACCCATAGTAGAAAGCGTAGAAAATTTCTTAAGAACTTTGTACTACTTAAGAAAATTTGGCTCAATAAATTTTTCTGGACCATTTCTTAAGCGTTTTTTATTCGCCTAACTAAAAAAAAAATGTTGGCAATTAATAACATAAAAACAGATTTGGTTTTTATTAATTCGTAACTTTCTGCTTGGTTACATAAATTTAAAACCAATGGTTTGTCTCTACGGGAAGGCATTGGTGTTATTGAAGAAATTAAAAGCAATTTATCTCAAGTGGAATATAACGAGTATTTAAAAAATTAAAATGACCAGCGCAGATCTCTATTATTTGAGAATATTAAGCAACACTTGATTGCCCATTGTAATTTTTCAATACTTAAAATAAACTGAATAAAAAACAAAACATTAAACTGTACTTACATTTTGTTGTTTTGTGAGCATATTTGCAAGCATATTTATCAACGGTTTAGTGCTTATATAAGCGCTTAAAATGGATTTTCTTGCTTATTTTCTTCGGCCTGCACATCACATTGCATCGAATTACCTGACATCACATCAGATAGCATCTTAACACGTCATCGCACCTCATCATCTAGATGAAGCAAAGGATAAATGCAAAGATATAAGTAATAGATAAAAACAAAGCTGAAGACCAAGGTAAATTTAACCGTTTTTCTTTTACAAGAACAGTAGAGTATAAAGATAAAAATAAATATAAAGGAAAACTGAATAACTGAATTTTCTTAAATTTTGTCTAGAGTTTGAAAATTTTATTTACATGAGTTTTGTTTGTAGAATGAGTTATTAGTATCTACATTTAAAAAAAAAATTTACGAAAAAATCAGCATGAAAATATTTTGAATAGCATAAAAAATTGATGTAAGATACTTTATGATTTTCGAAAAAATCAGCATGAAAATATTTTGAATAGCATAAAAAAATTAATGTAAGATACTTTTATGATTGACTGTACTTTCTGAACATATATCAGAAAGGTTTGATAATTTAATGAAAAATTTTAATTTTTTAATACGTTTTGGCTGTTCACACGTGGTTATCTGGTTATGTGGTTATATTTTTTATACGGTTCACAATAATCAAATGCACTAGACAATATTACTTTTTAAACAGATAACCCGATAACCGGGCAAGTGTGAACACCCATATTTTTAATTTTTTTTTAATTTTAGGGTCATTCCATTGAAAAGAGGAAAGCGACATAAATTTAAATATGCCCTAATTATCACTATTTCAGTAGTAACCTCTTTTTAAATGACTACATTTCATTTAATCATATTAAAAAATCAAAAGAAGTTTTAATTTTTGTCCATGGAAACTTTTGTTTCATGCATAATTACTTTACACCAGTCACAAGGAGATGTCCCACCAGTCACACTTTAAATATTTTTTTAAATTTCTATGAAGATTATATAAGCCTCATATAAACGAAAGCGTATAATTCATATTTTACAACACAAAAACATCGTTCGTGAAGATTAAAAGGTTTGGCTAAAATTCATCTTTGAGTGCACAAGGGTAAAATAGAGTTATTTTCAGTGTCCCACCAGTCACATTCATTCTATTGATAGTTCCATAAAACTAAGAAATCGTTAGGTATTTTTGTTAAAGCAATTTTATACATTACTTATCGTTCTATGATAAAAAAAATATCTTTCGCTGTTGTATAAGTTCCGACGGCATAGTTAAAATTCACATTCTGGAGTAAAATGTCCCATCAGTCACAATGGAATGGCCCTTGAGTTACTCCGTATTATGAGAGTTTATTGGATTTTTTTTTTAATATTTTAGTTTAGAAGTCGTCGCCGGCAGATAGTTCAGGCGTTATTTCATTAAAGCCCATACACAGATATCCATTGGGTAAGAATGTCCTCCAACCTCGTTAACCGCCTAAACCTCGTAAATAAATCTGGTTTTCCATAAAAATTAAGTAAGTTTACGAGGTTTGCATGGTTACGAGGCATATACGCGTTTAGGTGAATTGCACTATTGTTTGTAGCATTTTTTTTTTTTTAAGTCTGTTATTTTTTAATTTTTTCCTTGTTAAAGTTTGATTTTTTTTCATAAAAATTAAAATCAGCCTTATCACGCGTTTCATTTTCCCCGAACCGGTTCCCTTTTCACTTTTGATTTTCTTGCATTTACTATGGGCGGATGAAAAATTTTCGTGTGAAATTTTTTTTTCGGGGAAAATTACCCGACCTAGAAAAACGCTATACAGAACCAAAACTTGAGATTTTCCCTACAAGTGTCAAATCTTTATTCTTGCTCTTATTGCTTCACCTGATATGATTTCACTATCACATAGATCATCATTCTGCATGAAACCGAGTTTTTTAGGCGAAAGAGGAAAGGGAGCAATTCCGACTCACCCTAGGTTAGCTCTCGGATAGTCCCCATTGTTACCAGTAATAGTCGCTCATAATCCCCTTGCCAATGGTTTCAACTGCCATTTTTAACACTGACGAAAAATACCGGTCCAACAACTCGCCCGTCCTATTGTGGTTAATTGTCCTTGGTATACATATCTTGTAACGTATCAGCTAAAAAGTCGAATGTTTCAGAACATGCAAAAATTTTATTAAAAGTAGTCCGATTTTTAGAGCGAAACTGGCACGAAAGGGTTAAATATTCATACGCTGCCGGAAAAAGTATTGGCACAGAGAATTTTTTTAAATATATCTATGCAACACTTTTTTATTTGTTTTTCCGCAAATTTTTAATAAAAATATGGTTCTTGTTACAACAAAAAATATAAAAATATAATTTTGAAACTTTGTGAAAAGCTCGGGAAAATTAAATAAAATTTCATGCAAATTTCCAATTGTTTAATCAGATTTTTTAGAATTTTTTTGAGCATGAATTTGCATGAAAATTTATTCAATTTCCCGAGTTTTGCACAAAGTTTAAAAATTATATTTTCATATTTTTGGTTGTAATAAGAACCAGAAAATCTGGTTAAAAAGTTTAAAATTTGCATCAAAAGTTATTAAATTTTCGCGAGCTTTGCACAAAGTTTTGAAACTATATTTGTATGCTTTTTGTTGTAGAATGAACCATATTTTTATAATAAACTTGCGGAAAAAATTTGAATAAATATTGTAGCATATGTTGTGAAAAATTCTCTGTGCCAATACCTTTTTCCGGCAGTGTACATATGTACATACATATGTAGAACATGTGCCGAATAAAGATTGTTCGGTTCAAGTTGGGTACCCAGAAAAGATGTAAATCCGTAACATAAAAAAGTATATAAATAAAATTCTTATTTATTAAACATTTGTTAAGTGTGAAACGGGGCTCGATACACAATTGGAGGTACAATTGCCTTACGAAAGGTTACCGCTATTATTTTGGCATGTTGTTTTTGTAGGATTCGAACTTGGAAATTATTGAGTGATAGTACGTACACGAACCTTCAACCACTCGATTACGCCGAGCGGAAATTCTATTGACGGTAAAATCTTCCTAAAATAAGCTTTCGACTAACACAAACCTTTTTCGCTGCCCAGTCTGATAGAAAAGCTTCCATCCTGGCAAGTGAGGAATTCGATTTTTCTTACAATATTTTAGTAAAATTTTGCTAAACAACGAAAGCAAATAAAAATTTCACTCAGTGCTTTGACGACGACAAACGAAGATGCCGATAAGTATCGAATTTTATAAGATGACATTTTAAATTTGTTCATTGTGGTGTAACTGAGAGAAGACTAAAAGAATACATATTTATTGCAATCAACCGGATCTTTAACTTCCTCAGCTTTGAACATTTTAAAATCTTCAAAACATAATATAGTTGGTAATTTATACATTTGTCTTTCCCGCAATCATTGTACTTTATTATTTTTATTTAAATAAGTATTAATAAGAAAACACCTTAAAAAGAATAAGAGCCCTAAACAAATTATAACTCAAATATTTAATTAGTTTGCCATTTTTCCTACATACAACACAAATGCAATGTTAACCACTTTCAATTTATTAACGAACGACCAGAGTTTACAAACATATGTATACTCCGGTATATTGCCATAAAAATCACTATTTTTTAAATCTTAACTTTATTGCTCAGGTGCAATTTAAATTCGTGTATACATACATATGTATGTACGTATATACATATATTTACGGTGGCTAGGTGATTTAAGCGTTAAATAACTTCATTTCGTATTAGTCTGTTAACATGAAAAATAAATATTTTATCTTTTTTTTTTGCAAAAATGTACAACCAATTGTAAAAACTTTGAATGTGCCTTTATGTTAAAATACGTCTAGTTGATTTTACAACATAGGCGCTATTCCTTAAAATCAGGTATGCCTTCGAAGGTGCAGCCACTACGTTGTATAATTTGACGTGCTGCCCAAATGCCGGCACGTATGCAAACGCTAAGTTGCTTCTTTTGTATGTACTGTGCCAAAAAGCCACCAACAAAAGCGTCACCAGCGCCATTTGTATCGACAATTTCTTCCGATTCCAATCGGTGCACTGGGAATTCTTCAATGGAGTGCTCTTGTATAAGTAATACCGGTAAGTGACCTTGTGTTAGCACTATTATCCGTGGCCGATCAGCATTCTCTTTAGGCAGAGCCAACATTTTTTTGCCAATCTCTTTCATGTCCTTATCATTCCAACCTTGAGCAGCTGCGAACGCCTCAGCTTCCTGTAAATGAAAAAACAAAAAACGTATACTACATAATATTAATGAATATTTAAATTTAAGCTACCAATTCATTGCCGAATAGGATATCCACATAAGGTAAAGCAGCCATTAATGGTTCCTTGAAAAACTGTGACAAAAATGGTGCACTCAGGTTCATCAGAAAAGTGCGTTTACGTTTGTGCGCGTGTTGGGCAATATGCTGAATGCTTGGCGGACTCACGGTTAGGAAGAAGCCCTGTATTAGATAAAAAAAAAACATAGTGTATATGAAACTGTGTATGCATTTGTAAATCAAACCTACCGATATATAGAAATATTCGGCATTATCTATAAGTTTCTGGTTTTCAGGCGTAAGCAAATGATCTATGGTAAAGTTATTAGCCGCTGCCAAATTGGCACAGAGCGAACGATGAGTACCAGTAATAAGCACGCCACATGTGCCAGTTGATGCTTCGTTGTTGCGCTGGTAATGCACATTTACACCATTCGAGCGCGCACGCTCTTCAAGTATCTCACCATAACGATCATGGCCCACACAACCGAAGAATATAGCCACATCCGGCTTTTGTAACATCCACTGGCATACACGCAATGAATTTTGGACTGAACCACCAGCAATAAAATCGGCACTATACTTTTCCACTAGTTCTTTATATAGTGGCATATGCTTTTCTTCAGCCAAAATAGCGTCATTTGGTTTTAAATCATATTTCTGCAAGAAATTTTCATCGACAGTTGCCGATATATCCAGCAAAGGATTTCCGCAGCCGACCAAAATGCCTGTTCTGAAAAAAAAGATTAATATACTCATCTAGATAATTAAATTAGATTTATAGAAAAAAATTATAAAAGTATTAATTTAATCACATTTTTAGTAAGTGTTTGTTTGCTTTTACAATTATTAAGTCTTATGCCTAGTGTCATTTATTTTATGTCACCTTATCGCCACTTATTTTTATATTTTGATAATAGATATGTATGTACATTAGGGTGGTCCTTAAATGTAGGAAGCACATTTTTGAGACTCAAAAAATTAAAATTATTATTGTTTTCATCTAATACCCAAAATCGATACTACTATAGTCGAAGATATCACATACAAATTTTGGCCCCGATTGGAGTGGGTTAAGGCGTGGCGCACAGGGGTCAAAATTCAGATTACCCTACGAAGACGTCTTAGCCGACTCCAATCGGGACCAAAATTTTTATGTGACATCTTCGACTTTAGTAGTATCGATTTTGGGTATTAAATGAAAAAAAATTGTTTTTAATTTTTTGAGTCTCCATGGAGCATCTGACCTTTGACACCATTGCGACACGCCTTAGCCGACTCCAATCGGAACCAAAATTTATATGTGATGTCTTCGACTACGGTAGTATCGATTTTGGGTGCGAGTTGGCAAAAAAATTCATTTTAGTTTTTTGAGTCTCTATAGAGGAATCTGAACTTTGGCCCCTGTGCGACACGCCTTAACCGTCTCCAATCGGGACTAAAATTTGTATGTGAAAGCTGTGACTGTGGTATTACCGATTGAAGGGGTGAGACTGAAAAAAATCGCTCATTTGATTTTTTTTAAGGGCCACCCTAATGTACATGTTACCTCGAGTTAATCCTTTACGCTTTAAAGCAAAATTTCATTGGGTTCTCAAACGATATTTTATGGATTAACCAGCCATAGGTATAGTTTAAAATTCTCTTTTTTGCGAAAGGTAACTTATTCTTTTTTAATCGAAAGTCAAACCTTCTCTATTCACTTAGGTTTATTAAAATATCACAGATAGGTATTTACATATGAAATTGGCGAAACTTATCCTAAAACAAAGAAGATTTTTCGTAGCTACTGCAGAAACATCAAATATATTCCCTTGTGTAAAGAAACTGGTTTCGCAATTTTCAAGATACATACCAATGGAATACAGTTTTTACATGTACATAGGTACATATTTAGGTCCTTAAACATTTGGAGAATCTTAAACGTTAAACTAAGTATTTCTCGTTATAGTGCAAGAATAAAAGCACGTAACATTTCACTATCGACAAGATCGCTTATAATTATTGTAATTATCAGTCATAAATACTGAGGTTAATGACGTCAACCAAAACTGAAGCGAAATCTTTTATACACGAGCTAAACCAAAATAAGGCTATAGGTTAGCTATACATATGTACATATCGCACACCGTCTTCAAAAGAGTCACAACTCAAAATTTGAAATTTTTAAGTTTATGCGCTAAAAATGTACGCGGAGCTTTTATTTACCTTTCAGCAAGAGCTGGAGCAAATTTTTGTTATAATTTGATAAAAAAAAACCTAAGGTAAAGTCGCCCTTGCCCGTATGATTATCATGTGCTAAGAAATAGTTTTTCGCATTTCCTGACAAACGTATTATTTTGAGTTGCAACTCTTTTGAAGACGGTGAAGATCCATTCATACAAAAATAAAACATAAACATACATACATATTTTTACTGAAGTGTAAGATCTTCAGTATTTAAATAAAAACTAATACAGGAAGCGTTATATACAATCATAATGTAGATATGTGCACATGTAAGACAGACGTTTATATACATATGTACGTATGTATGTATGTATGTGCACATGTGAATATACTTTAGCATTCGCCCAGCCGTTCTTATCAGTGAGCAGCAGTGCAAACCATTGAAAATTGTATCTATGTACATTTCTTATTAAAAACTATCAAATGTACAATATAACTGCATCCGTCCACACTATTTTCACCTGTTATTTCACTTTTATTTTTATTTTTTGTAACAATAAACCTACCTTAAATCCTCACTCATTATGTAAATACGTTGGAAAAAATGTCAACACTTTTTCAACTATACTTGTTCACAAGTTAAACTTCCGGATTTTGTTTATAAGTTGTAGTTGATTCACAAGTTCAGAGAAAATTGATAATCCAACTCCAAGCACACTGACCACAGTGGATTCACCCTTACCCCATGGAAGCTACAGTGCAAAAGTGTAATCAGAAGAAACCGCTAAAAAACACATGGCACTAGGTGATGTAGCAGCAGCAGCAAAAACAACACAATCCACACACCTATCCATACAGGCGTGCGGGTACGTGTATACAAAACATATGATTGACTTTGCACTGGGTGTAGTTGGCATTTGTTGGCTCCAGCTGTCAAGCAGTGTACAGTGGATGCCATCGTACAGTTTCCTAAGTAAAAACACTATCAGCCGATTGCCAAAAATTGCCTACAGCTGAGATCACCTGTTTTTGGCATTCGCTCCTATCGTTTACAATTTATTCAAAATACACTAATACACTGAACCAAAAACACCAATACAAAAACACACCTACAGCCTGCCAAAGAAAACGGAAAGAAGAAGAGTTACGTTACTTATGGAACTGTACCACGATTGAGAGAATACAAAGGTTGCGCCGATCTCGGACCGCTATTCCTCTCTTAACGAATTTGACAGAATCATTGTTTGCATGACGTCACACTTGTGCAACTTGTTTACGTTTTCCTTGCAACATTTTTTCTTCTTCTTCCATTCTTGCTCACGTTTTGGCATTCCGCTCTCGCAACTGCACCAGTGTGACGTCACACAAAAGTTATTCTCAAAAATCCTCTCTGATCGGCGCAATCTTGTATTCTATCATTCTTGGAACTGTACCAAGAATGATAGAATACAAGTTTGCGCCAATGAGAGAGGATTTTTGAGCGTAATTTTTGTGTGACGTCATCTTGGTGCAATTGCGAGGGAGAAATGCCAAAACGCATATAAAAATATGTAAACAATGCAGAAAAATGTGTTAATTTTAATATTACATGGCCCAATTTTACAGGAATCAATAAATATTCAAAGATTGATTAGTTAGGAACACGTTGCAATAATTTTGGACATGTAGTCCTTTAGGTAAGTACGATTTTTAGCACATGAAAAAATGGATGTATTAACAGTGTTTGCAATTTCATGTAGACCAAAAGGAAGGTGTGCAGCAAAGAGAATTTTTGGACTCGCCATTGTAAAGCCATGCAGAGTGCATATTTATATTTGTGGACGGTAGCCAACCACCATAAACTCCACAGCTGTTGACTCCACACGGAACACTTCATTTTGCTTTGTAACGTCTCAATAATTGTTTAAAACCACGTAGAAATATTAACGCACAAACACTGAAATTGAAATGAATTGAAATATCACGACCGAGTGTGCGAAAATGTAGTCGTCATGTAATCGTTGCATCATGATTGTGACGATGAAGTAACCATGATTGGACGACCAATGTGCAGAAAGCCTTAGTGGCTGGACTATGAATACGCGCCATTGCACGGTGCAGCGGTATTCTATCATTCTTGACGCGAATTTATACAAGCTGGTTTTTGTTATCGGATCCGCTGATTTCAGGGCGAATTTATACCTTTTGTCAAAATTGTGTGTTTGTTGTAAATTTGCTTTGTACTGATTGTCAATGTGCGTATATTTGTTGATGTAATTTTTGTTTTTATTCTGTCAACACCACCTCATGAACGAAAGACACAAGATCACGTAAGAACAAGAGAGTGAAAAAAGTTGATTTTTTTAGCGGGTTCTACGCCATCTTGTTTCACTGGAAAACGAGCGAAAAGTAAACAAAGCAAAGAAAACAACGAAAACCAAAATTAGCTAAAATTATTGTCAGCCACTTTAAACGCACAATTTAGGTAAAATGATGCAACAAAATGCTTTGAAATTGTGTTGTCATGTTGAATTAACTTTTCTTTGCTTGAATAAAAGTGTAAAATAGTGGTGCTTGTGATGTAAACAAACGCTCAGCTGACAAACCCGCTTTCGGAAACTTTTTTCCCAAAACCAGTTACAAATACAACGTCGCGTTCTTACGTGATCTTGTGTCTTTCGTTCATGACACCACCTTGTATAAACTCGCCTTGAGCAGACTGCTTTTACACAGTTCAAGTATTGAATTCAATTCTGCTCGCATGTGGAAGAGAGGGGGTGAGAAGAAAAGGGACGAGTACACATGCGTCTGTACCGTCAAGTCGTTTCAACTTTCGTGCTTTGCTTTTGGCATTTTCGTTGCTTCCCATTTAAAGAACCAAAAACTTGAATTCAACAGAATTGAAACGTGTAAAAGCAAATAGAAAACACAAAAGAGAATGAGCAAGAATTGCTTTCAAGTACTTGAATCATGTAAATCGGGTGTCAGAACCAAGGGGAATCTATACAAGGTGGCGTTCAAGGCGAATTAATACGAGGTGGTGTTACTGGCGAACTTAGATTTTCGCCGCGGTACTTATTAATGTCAAAATTATGTGTTTGTTGTAAACAAGGCTAACTACTGGATTATAATGGAAGTAACGGAACGGAGTGAACTGTCACTTAATTATCTATTGTATGGGCAATGAATTCAAACGATTATAATGCACTTGAACGCAATGTAAAACGGAAGCATCTAAAATCAATAGATCCTTACGAATTCGCCGCGGTTTGTTACGATTCGCCCCGTACATTATAACCAAGGTATAAATGTTGGCTGGCGACCAACTTTGTTGAAAGCGATTAGTTGAAGGGCCGTTCAACCAAAAGTAGAATGCAAAGTTGAACAATGCAAACGTCTTTTTATGGCGAATATTTTTATATTTTTTTATATATTGATATTTTTAGCCATTCAATTTTTTTTTTCGTGTAACCCTGCGTGAGTTGAACGCAAAAGTTGCCTGAAAAATCGCTCGTGCGAAAGCCCTATAAGCATTTATTTCACCATGGCTTGTACTGATTGTCAACCCAACAACAAAAGTAGCCTAGTGCAAATGTTACAATGTAAGAAGCCAAAATTTTTCCATAGAAAAAGCGCCATACGTTTTTAATTGATCTATTTTTATATTTATGTAAGATCCCTTTCAGACACGTCTTGTCTTGATTTTAAGACTGCTCATTCGTCGGCGAAAAGGGTGTGACGAATGTACTCTTCCCCTCTCTGTCACCTCCTCCGCCAACCAACTGAGCAGACTTGAAAGCAAGACTTGACTTGTCTGAAAGGGGTCTAATACAAACATGACTTCTGATGTACAGCTTTAATTAATCAAGTATAACGACAGTGTTCTTTGAAAACTAAATAATAATTTTATGAATTTATTAGTCTTTCAACTTTATTCAAATAAAACATTTTAATGTTAGCTGAATCATTTTAGCCATTTTAGCCGTCTTTTTGGCAATTTGACATTCGCTCAAGAAGTTCTGGCAACACTGTACGATTGTGTAATTTGACATTTTAACGTATTGAAGTTGGCTGCTGATGTGCCGCAACCTTTCTTTCCGGTTGTCAAAAAGGTACGGGACGAATGAAATTTTTTATCGCAACAAATAAAGATTTTGTATTCGATTTAATGGCTTACATCCGACTTACAATACGTTTTTTGTTTTCTTATTTCAGTGCAGAGACGACACAAGTAGTTAAAAATGGCTGACGTTGATGTGTAAGTTGAATTCTCCGTGTTTATTAACTAACTAAAAATCTGTGGTGAAAGAATACAGTGAAACAGTAGGCCACATAATGGACAATGTTTCTCCTATATAATAAACATTCATATTCACATAAACATTTCACATATTATTAGCTACTGTTAATCATGGATTTTTCCTTTCATATATTGACTTACGCTAATTTCAACTTAATCGCGACAGTGATGTGCCCTCCGCCGCGCCAGTAATTGGTGACAAAATGGACATCAATACCGCCCTGCAAGAGGTGCTGAAGAAGTCTCTCATTGCTGATGGTTTGGTTCATGGCATTCACCAAGCGTGCAAAGCTTTGGACAAGTAAGCTATCGTGAATATGTTTTTATTTTTTCTTACCTTGAATTTAACTTTAATTTCTCTGTTTATTTCTTAGGCGCCAAGCCGTTTTGTGCATCCTCGCCGATTCGATGGACGTTGATTTATACAAGAAACTCGTTACTGCACTCTGCCATGAACATCAAATCCCACTTATCCGAGTAGATTCTCACAAGAAATTGGGTGAATGGTCTGGGCTATGCAAGATCGACAAAGAGGGCAAGCCACGTAAGGTCAGTGGATGCGCTGTTGTGGTTATCAAGGATTTTGGTGAGGAGACCCCTGCTTTGGATGTTGTGAAAGAACATCTGCGTCAAAATAGCTAAACGCGCTGTGTGTGTTTTAGTTTTGAATAACTTTCAACAAATATAGTGATTTGTGATGTTAGAGGATCACAAAATATTAAAAACCGTGTGTTTTTGAGCAAAAAATCTTTTATAAATAAAAAGTTTAAACCAGATACATAAATATTGAAGTGCAGTGAATATATGACGAAAATGATATGAATTTGCAGAAGTGATAACTCGGAGGTGTTGCTTTAAGCTTTAATGCAGTTGACTTTGTGCTGCGGCCAGTCGTCCAGTTGACATTTTCTGCAAAAAAATGTGATAGTTATTCAATTGTATAAAAGCAAAAACTCAAATCTCTGACCTTGAACAGTAATAAGTAGTTTTACAGTTGGCGCACTTCTTCACTGCATTAGAAGCACATTTGCCGCATTTTTTTCTACCAGCCTCATCCTTACCCGTTTCCACAGTTTCAGAAGTTTTTTCTGTTCTTGCAGCCTTCTCCTCGAGCTCGGCCAGCAAATCTGTATTGTATGCCGTATTCAAACGTTTGGCTATTTCACATATTTTATCTTTATCAGTACACAGAAATATTTCCTCTTGCTTTTGAGCTACAACAGGAAAACCACCAATGCGTTCACACTCAGCTATAAGCTTTTCGCGTATTTCTGGTAATTCTTCGAGAAGCAAGTTAGATTTTTGTTTCGTATTCTCATTACCGTTGCCGGCGACGCCCAAAAGGCAAAGGTATTGCTTTAACTCAACTAAAGGTGGAAGTTGATCGAGTATTGTCTCCAGCAACAGCCCTTGACACTGAAAAAGTTGTCAAATTGATTCAGGTAAAAACGGTGGCAGAATAAAAAAATTGTACTTTTTTAATATCTGTTCATTCATGGTTAATGTGCGTACACAACATACTCTAAATTTGCTATAAAATTAAGATATTTTACTTTAGACAGATGCTTTCGACGTTCTTCGTTTAACTCATACGATGTCATCAAAGATTTATTAAAGAGCAATTGTCGCATGCAAAACCAGCTTTGCGCTTCTTGTTTGGACACTTTGTTTAAGTCATCACCTTGCACCAATAACCACTTTTCATCTGTGAACACATAATACTATAATTCCTGGCAATGGAAGTGAGTAATGGTAAGCTTATGTAGATATATGTACAAATGTATACCAATATAACGTTGCAGTCCTTTATTTGTGCGTCGCTGCCAAGGACGAAATTGCAGTAAGTCTGCTATTAGCCAAGGTACATCGTGCGTTACCACCATGCGACGTGAGGCACTCAACGGTATTGAATCGGCATGCTCTGCCAGGTAGCAAAGTATAGAAATGCAACGCATGCCAATCTTATAAATTAAATCGCGTTTTTGACGCTCTAACTCGGATAAAACAGCTTCATCTACATCAACTTTTGATTGATTTTCATGATAACCCATGCTATTACATATAAGATAAAAATGTATATACTGATTAAGTATAATAATTGCTATGAAACAGTACGACTTTCGAACCTTACTAAACCAATCACTTGTGCAACAGCCAAAGCGCAGTAGTCTACCAAATCAATAGCTGCTTCCTGCAGTGCCTCACATGCGCTCACATGGAAAAGTGTGGTGTCTAATAAGGAAATAACAGCAGCTTCGTGAAAAAGCACTGTATAGATGAGAAAAGTAGCCTGAGGATTGGGATCGATTTCCAGCAGGTGTGGTAGCACACGAGTTTTCCATAAAAAAATGCTGTAAGCTTCGTGTATAAGCACCTGAAAATCAGAAATGTGAAGATAGTGTTGCGCTTTTATAGCTTGTACCTTCAACTTGTCCCGGGATATGAGAAATTCTTTCACTTCTTCTTCACGATGTTCGGCTGCTTCGAGTATAGCTTGCTGGCTTAATTTTATAATCATTTCGTGAACGTCCACCCACTTCGTGCTCCCTATGTCGACCAATTGAAATGGGCGAATGCTTTCGATGAAATAAGATAATTCCTCAGGTAAAACAAAATTGGACATCATTTATGTTCGACTTATATTTCGTTACAAACGCTTTTTTCTCTTTATGAAATATAACTGAAATTTTGTGAAATTTCTTTTTCGGTGTTTGATCGATTTGATCTGATGGTTCAAACAAGGTTGCTAGGATGAAACATATCGTCGATGTTTTTGCAAAACGGCAAAATCGCCGTTGTGGCAAAAATGAAATTTGGTAACCCTGAACTCCATGCATCGAGATTTATGCATAAAAGTCGTTAAATCGTTATTAAAACAACAGATTTAAACCGCTTTTTCGCTCCGGTAAAATTTGAGTGCCGTAAGATAGGCGGTTTTGCAATTGGGCGATGGGCGGTTTTGCAAAAACATCGACGAAATGTATTTGTACATATATACAGTGAACCAATATAAAAACTGGGAGGCGACGTTTTAGCAAGTTTTGGCAATTTTTCTTAAGTTTATTTAATTTTTATTTCTAGTTTTTGAAAGTGTAGCTGTTTTCTTAACAAACACCACATATCGTCACCTGAAATGCAAAAAGACATAACAAACATCGTCGCTGAAATACAAAACGTCGTAACTAGTAAAACATTCAAAATCCAGTTTTTGGTTGACATGATGCATTTCATCGAATTACCAACCCACACATCATTTTATGAAAAAAAATAACAAAAATTTTCGTCACGACTTTCCATTTCAGTTACGATGTTACGTATTTTTGCATTTCAGGTGACGATATGTAAATCTTAATTTCAGACTTTGTGAAAAAATGCTGAATATTCTGGAAAATTTCACAAAATTTTTGTTTTAATCAGCATATTTAGAAAGAATTCTGGTATATATGCAGATTTGTAGTAAATTAAATTTGAGTATAATATGGTGCAATTTGAAGTAGCTGGGGCTTACCGTTGGTTTTTCGCAATTTTTTATTTTTTTTCCCCATACAAATTATATTAAACAATTTTTGGACTTATATGGTTTTTGTTATGTAAACAGCTATACTTTCATAAAGAAATATTCTACATTAAATAATATGGCCCGTAGTTATAGTCAAAATAAAGTCCACTCTAAAGTTAAAAGCAGCTTTTTGACATAACTTTCAATGGGATATCTGTCAAAGAAACCTGCTTCTAACTTTAGAGTCGACTTTATTTTGACTATAACTACGAGCCTATGTATGTATCTCAACGAGCGGAAGTTCGCTTTACTAAACGGACAAAATATAGAAGTGCTAACAGTATAGATGATATGGATTTCCGCGGGAAAGGTCTATGACTTCGTCATGCATGTTTAATAAAACAACAAGAATGCTTTTACCATTACATACATACATATGCTTACTATATTGCAATTAAGGATTCGCTCAAATTTTGTAACATTTTGCACATTGCCATATACATTCAATAATGCGTATTTAATACAATACTACTAATTGTTTGTAGTCAAATTGCCAAAAGCATAAAACATATATGTACATACATATATACGAATAATCATAAAACAACGGATTTAAAATAGGGTAAATATAATTTTCATATTATGAATAACTAATTAGCAAATGTTTGTTGGATTGCTTGCATATGTGACACTGATGTTGGTGGGACACCTGCAGGGGGTGCCGCTGCCGATGTTTGCTGTGCGTACATTTGTGGCGGCATAGGTGTTGGCTGTGTCGGATAATGTCCACTTGTTGGTTGCACTTGCGGATAAGTGGGTACCGTTTGCGCAGCTGGATACGACAGTGGTACTGGTGCGGTCATGTATTGTTGTTGTTGAGATGCCATTGAATACATTGGTACCGTAGCCGCAGTGGAAACAAATTGTGGTGGTAATGTGACCTGTGGATATGGCAACTGAGTAGCTCCTGTGGCTGTGGTATTACCAGAGACGCTAGCAGACGATGTTGGTTGTTGATCATTAGAGCCGGGAATAAACAAATTGCTGGGTGGTGGTATATTTGGAACATAGAACTGAGATGGTTGCGATATACTTGGACCAGCAGCTGGAAACAAGGCACCTGTTGTGGCGGTACTCTCGGTACCCTTTTGATCCTTGGTTACTCCAATTGGGTTGATTACAGGGTTTACTGTCGCAGCTGTTATATCAAAACTGCTACTACCCGCTATACTTGCTGCTTCAGGATTGAAGTATGTTTGAAAAACGCTCGGTTGTTGTGAAGTGGTTGCCGGCGGAACTCCAGCTGCGGATTCCGTTGATCCTTCATTTGACAAAGAATTTTGCGATTGTTTAAAAGTGCTCGTCAAAGGAGGGACGTAAGGCAGTGTTGGTGTGATGAGTGGTGTTGAGGCTGCCGACGTTGTTGGTATGGTGCTTGTTGAAATTGGTGCTGTGTTTACTGGTTCGATTGTGGTTGGTGCCTTTGCGACCGATGTCACTGCCTGTACTGGTATACGATGTAAGTAACCATAACCAATGCCGCAACCCAATGCACCCTCGCCGCCCCAATTAGAATTTGGTTTAATAGTGACTTCACGGCAGGCATCGTCATCGATATTGTATACGTACATTTTCAGTGGTTGATTTTCGTGTGTTTCAATTAAAGTAAATAGGTCATCGTTTTCATGACGTATAGCATCTGCGCCAATAACATAATCTGAATATGCACGTAATCCTGCGATTTCAGCCGGTGAGTTGGGATGTACTTCAAGAATGTGCCAGACGTTTTCATTCGCACCCTCGAACGAACAAAAGCGTATACTGACACCCAGCAAACCTTGACCACCCCATGTTTTACTTGGAGTTAACATCAACTCTCGCACAGTTTGGGTCTTGCTAGAGTATACCGTTATTCTTACAGGCTTATCAACATTCTGACGTAGTAACTCTTTCAACATGTCGTTATCCTGATCAAGACGAGTGCCAGCAATGGCAACAATAAAATCAAAAAAGGCTTCCAAACCTGCCTTTTGGCCAGGAGAATTGTCTTGCACTTTTAGTACGTGGTATCCTTCGGTGCCACCTCCCGGTACCTCTATACTATGGCTTGAACCCATTTCTGGCTATAGAGCAGAACGAATATATTTGTTTTTCTGAAAAGTTCACAGAGTTATCCAGCAGAGCGCGTATGAAATGTTTATTGGGTTTAAAAATTATTAGTTTGCCTTTAAAATTAGTTTTTCCAACTTTTCCCTACTTTGTTGGGAAGTCTTTGCGTGGCACAATCAAAAAATAATCCAAGATTGCATTTTTTCCCCTAAATGTCAAAATTTAAGAAACCTGCCATATTGTTTAGAAATTCTTAAATTTTTTTTTCAGTGGATGTGGATTTTGAAAATTTGATCTTTCTAAAATATTATTTTAATGGCATAATTTTATACGTATTTTCTGTTTGTTAATAATAGATTACAAAATGTTAGACATCCAAAGGAGCAAGTTTAATTTTAATTTGTTAACTAGATTTGTTTTTATATTTCAATGGCAGCTTCAATTTTCAGATTGTCACCTTCGAAATGACGTGTTCGCCTTCAAAACAGATGAGCAAAGATCATTACCATATATACATACATACATCATACCTACCAAAATTGGCCTCATTGGTTCCCGATAAATATTTTTAGGCTTTAAAACATCCTCCGTATGCGTCGGAAGACATATTTATTTAGATATCGACCCCATATCAAATCAAGCAATGGATTCGACAACTGCTACGACAGTCGAGTCTACGTATGTAACCGGAACGACCCAGATTTATATCTGGCCAAGGACTGTCACTCTAGCTACACTCCCTAAAAACTCTTTGAGGAATTTGTATGCTGTTACAACAACAACAACAACAAATGACTTGGGGAAATCACCAAATACTGTTCAGCTAGTTTTACCAGCATATAAAACATAAGTCGATTTAATTAAGTTTTTTTTTTATTAAATTAAATGCTTAGACTAATTACGAGCAAAAACACCGACACTACTTGATGAACGGTAAACCCTATCGTTGGAGTCATTAGCTTTGGAAGCCGAGAGAAGCGCTCCATACATGTCTACTTCATTGCGGCGGCTACCTGATATTGTTGTTGTAGTTTTTGCACAGTTTCACGGTGTTTTGTCATATCTTTTTCCATATTTTCCAGTGTATCAGTTGAGCTTTTCAATTCTTTTGAAATATACTCTATGCGTTTGCCTACATTCTGACGCGAATCCTCCAGATCTTGCTTGACAAGCACAGGACCGTATAGCTTGTAAACTTTATTATCTGGACCAAGAAGATTTAGTTCGTCAAGCACGCATTTGTTTTCATTCAGCTGGGATTCCAGCAGCGTACGCTGTTTTACTAGTTTTACGCAGGCTGAATTAGAATTTCACATTTTAATAGTATAATTAAAAAAAATTGCAAGATTATAGCTTGCACATATTTAGATACCACAAACCTCCAGGAATGTGTCATATCAATTAACCGGCGTTAACTTACTTTTTTGCAAATTTTGGTACGCTTCCAGCTCAGACTGCAATTTCTTTACCAATGCCGCGCTGTTTTTATCCATTTTTTCACCAAGCTGTAATTTATTGTTTCTAATTAATATTTTTTAAAACAGTTGGTGAATGCAGAAATGCAGAATCTGGAGAACCACACACGAGTTTTAAGCGCAGCGAATTCACGCAATGACAACCAAGGCGAATTCAGGTGACAACCAAATCAAGGCGAATTAATTGACAACTATTTCAAGTGCAAAGCTGCCAGTTTCATTCAATTAAAATTATTTAGTTAATAACAAACAACGTAAATCTAGATTATTTTTTACTCTACACACTATTTTTGTAAAAAAATTTTCACCAAAGTATTAATCTTGCTAGAACTGAAAGTTTAAATAAAAATACATCCATTTAATTCATTTTCAGTTTCATAATCTAATTGTGAACGTCCTCTTAAATGAAGAGGCAGCGTCGTTGAAGAGGAAGAATTTGTACGCCTTGTGTGAAAATTTCGCGCCGATACAGAGGATGTACAATAAGAGACTGTGAAAAACTATAGCTTATGAAAAAAATTATATTTTCGCAGGGAATTAGCAGTTTAATATAGTTTTTTATGCAAATAAGTGAAATAATCGCAGTTAAGAAGTAAAACAAGGCTGTGCTTTGTTGCGTGAATTGGCGTCCTCTGCTCCGATAAGCGGAGCGTCAAAAACAGCGAGACAGTGAAGCAGCAGAAAATTGAACAAATTGTGATCCAACGTACAAGCCGTACTCATATTACTTAAGTCCACAGTGCAAATTCAGCGAAAATTAACACACGGAGAATGGCTCCGGCAAAAAAACGCGAAAAAGATACTGCATTAGCAGCGCCGGCAGCTGCTGTAAGCAATGGTGCTAACGGAAGTGTTAACGCTGGTAATGGGGGTGGAGCGGTTGCGGCAACAGCTGCTGTTGCAACTGCAGTGGCTACAAATACTGCAACAACGGGCATTGATAATGCAAAACTCAACGGCCATCAACAAGAGCAGGAACTCTTTCTGCAGGCTTTTGAAAGTATGTCGGAAAGTGTAAAATATTTAGTATGTAGATAATTTTAAATTTAATAATTTTATTATTTTAGAACCTACACAGATCTATCGGTTTTTACGCAATCGCCATGGAACAAGTGTAAGTATAACTTAATGGTGGATTTTCTTTTTTAATGAATTTATATTTGTTTAGCCAATTTTCTTGAATCGAACACTGAGTTATATGAAGGACCGCATGTCGCGAAACAATAAAAAGCGCGCGACGTTCAAAGTCAACTCCATATTGCAGCAAATAACACAAAAAACTGAATCGATATCAAATAAATACTTGAATATCATCTACAATGGTTTGTTTGATAAGAGTGCTTGCAGCGATCAATGGTGGAATACGGGCGATGCGGTTTGTGTCGAAGCAACGCTTTATAAGATAACAAAAAACAAGCGAAAGGATAGCACGTCAGATTTTCAGGAAATGATGGTAATTTCCTCACTGTATTTGATCGCTACTTTACTATGTTCTGACTTTTTTACGATTTTTTATGTATTTTTCGATCATAGAGTTACAGTTCAGATGTTGTTTATAATCCGAATGATGATATTGGGCGTTTCTCTGTCATAAGCATTCCGGTGCAATCAATGTGCCCTTTGGGTGATCAACACACCATCTACAAACTATTGTTTCGGATTAAAGTTCTGCCCAAAATTGATTCAAATACAAATGATGAGAATTGTGAAAATGGTGGTAAGTGGAAAGTCAGTATTTTTCATAAGTATATTTTTTTTAAATTAGTATTAAGTACATATGGATATTTTTAAGTGCCAACTATATACAGTTTTGGCTATATTTCTTTTGTTTTTTAGATGATCATTTTATTCTTTATAAAAATCTAGCGCAATATATAACGGCTCCATAAAAATTCACAAAAACTGAACCGGTTCGGAGAAAATTAAATTTATGATACGGTTGATTAAATTTCTGAAAAAAAGTTTAACATTTCTGGGGGGTTTATATCGTGCTTTTTTATAATGCGCTAGACTTTTATAAAAAAAAATATTAAACATAAAATCAACAAAACAAATATAGCCAAAACTGGTCAAAATAAAAAGTTTATATTATTACTTCTACCACTGTATATACATTGTATATACAACATTGTGCCTACTAAAATAAATTACATCAAATTCAGAGACTCCCAGCAAACGCGGTAAAATGAACACAAAAATATACGGCTGCGAATTAATAGTGTTTGAGAAAAATATTTGCTTCATTCCGGAGGGTGATTATGAGGCGGCGATGCAGGAGCTCAATTCGATGAGCATAAAATCCTTCTCCCCAAAGAAACGCACATGGGAAACGCTACCGGACAATTACATTCCACTCTCAATGAAATTCGATGTATTCAATCAATTTCCCACGCTCAAGTTTCGCTTAACCTGGTCAGCCAACGAAATGATTAGCAGTATTGATGCAAAGGATTTACATTTATACGGTAACTTTGCTGGCAACACAGATGAGCCGAAAGATAAGTCACAGAATTTAACTAATGGTGTTGCAATTCAAATGAACGGCACCGTTAATTCAAATGACACTACGGGCGCACTTGTAAATCATAACAATAATTTCGTCAAAGGCAATGGTAGTATTGACAAAAGCGGCGTCGTACTACCTACTTTAAAAACGGAGAAAATCCAAATAGTTTATAATTTTCTGTATAGTAACAATACGCGCCAACAAACTGAGTACACACAAGAGGTAATATGTCCATGGTGTGGGTTGGACTGCTTGCGTTTGTACGCATTGCTTAAGCATTTAAAGTTGTGCCATGCCCGTTTCAACTTCACTTATCAACCGGCAGGAAATGGTGCGCGCATCGACGTAACAATCAATGACTCGTATGATGGGTCGTATGCGGGTTCGCCCTACGACCTGGCCGGCCCATCAGGCTGCTCTTTTGCGCGCACTTGTGGTCCAGTGCGCAGAACGACGGTGACAAATTTGTTAGTATGCCGTCCACGTAGACAAAAAACGTGTCTAGATGAATTTTTGGTGCTGGACGAGGACGATTTAAGCAATCAACGACCTTATATAACGGGCCACAATAGGTTGGTAGTTACTTCATATCGCATTATTATTAACTTCAATATAATCCTTGCTTTTTCTTTACAGACTTTACCATCATACGGAAACTTGTTTGCCGGTGCATCCGAAAGAACTAGATATCGATTCAGAGGGCGAGAGTGATCCACTTTGGCTACGACAAAAAACCATACAAATGATCGATGAGTTCTCCGATGTGAACGAGGGCGAGAAAGAGTTGATGAAATTGTGGAATTTGCATGTTATGAAACATGGTTATGTCGGCGATTGTCAGTTGCCATTAGCTTGTGAAATGTTTTTAGATTCGAACGGTCATGAGGTTATACGCAAAAATCTCTATCGCAATTTTATCTTACATATGTGTTCACTGTTCGATTATGGGCTCGTCTCACCAGAAACTGTCTATAAAACTGTACAAAAACTGCAAGGTATGCTAAGTAAATATCCCGAGGGACAAGAGATGATGTCCAAACAACGTGAAGCGCAATTAAAATATTGGCTGGAAGTTGGCATACATAAGCAAGACGAACAAAAGCTCAAATCGCCACAAAAACAATCGGCGTCAAGTTCAAACGCTGTTGCCGAGGCGTTAGGCCCCATCGCAGCCGAAGCTACTGGCACCCCGGCAAGTGGTAACAAAAATTTGGATAATAAACCAATGCAACCACCTTCAAAGCGCTCCGCCACAGCTGTCAAACGTGCCAGTATGCATCCACAAAATTGTGTAAATGGCAGCGCTACTGATAAAATGGCTAATGGTGGTAAAGGTGTTGCCAAAAAGACTGTTTCCCAAGCAGATGACGATCAAGACCCGCCCGCAAATGGTGTAGTAAGTAGCGCTAACACCGATAAACGCGAGCGGCGCAGTGAAAGCAGAAGAAGTAGCACGGCTTCTAATGCGGCAGCTACAGGGGGGACAGTAACGTCGACGACGGAGCGCGATATAAAGAATGAGCGAAAAGAGGCTCAAGGCAGCGAGCGTCCTCAACGTGGTAGTGCTGTTGGTGGTGGCGGCGCGGCATCAAATACCCCATCAGAATCACGCGCGCAGGCAGCTAAAAGGAGATTGTCTATAAAAGGTAAGTTGGGCGCCATGCGGAACTTTAAGATTTTTGTTTTCAACTACTTCAAAAAGGTAAAAAAAAATGCGCACTTAATTCCATTTCCATATGTACATATGTACGTTTCGCTTCTATTAATGATTGATAGAAGCCAGCTATGAAGCAAAAAAAAATTTTTAAGAAAGGCCTAATTGAGGAAAATTTGATAAAATAGCCCTTGCGCATTTATATTTACATATTTACTACTGGCAAAAGTTTCAATCCAGTTGAACTATAACGACATTTTATAAAAAATAGGTCTGCGCATTTTTTATGCTTTTCGTTTCGCTAAAAACATTTGAGAAATATGCCGTCATTACGTAAATAATATCTATTGTCATAATGCTTCATTAAATGCAAAATCATTTTGACTAAATCGCAACATACAACATTACGCCTCACCAATATCTATAAATCATGAATTAACCATCTAACATAATAAGAACATGGTTTTAGTTGGAACAAATCCTACATCTGTTGTCATATATTTCATTTATTTATCATAAACATGTTTTATGCTCCTACAGTAAGTTTTGTTGGCTAAGAAGTCTTTTATTTACTTAGATAGGTATATTTAGATATACACACCTAAACGCGTAAACCTCGTAAATAAATCGATCTTCCATACAAAATTAAGTAAGTTTACGAGATTTACATGGTTATGAGGCATTTGCGCGTTTCGATGAATTGCCCTATTGTTTTAATGAATTAAATTTTAAATTTACGAAATTTTTTGAGCTCAGGGAGAAATTAAATAAACAAATTAAAGCTCACCAAATATCAATATGGATCAAAAAAGTCAATATAATCGTATCCCAATTCACTTGAATAGCCAATTTTGTTTCTTCAAGATCCTAGCTTATGTCTGCAGTTGTGGCATCGGAGAAGCTTTATTTTAAGATAATTTTGAAAAATAATCGATTCCTAAGAAAAGGGGCGAAAACGCAGGAAGGAGGAGGGAGTTAATTTATATATTTTTTTCTTTTTTTTGTGTAGCTTTTTAATAAAAAATGCAAGATATGTACTTAAAAATTACTTAACTTGAATAGGCTTCTGGAGTCTATAGGAATATGAGATGTTTTGTGATGAGTAGAAAAATATGTGAAAAAACATTAAATATATCCAAAACACACAAGGCCTACACGGAAATGACGGAAGGCCCTTAAAGAAAGTAGGTAATGTCCATGAAACCACAAGTAATATTATGAACTACTCAAATTTTTGTGCTCAGAAAATTTCAAAAGCGAAATGCAGCTCGAATTTAGAACGCTTTACATGTCTTGGATGGACGGACGACTAGAAAGTGGTGGGTTTCTCCTCTGAAAAACTGGACAATTAATGGCTCCAATGGATTTAATAATTTTTTGTTGAATGTTTGTAGTTTGATTCCACTCCATGATCGAGAAGATAGTGTGGCGGTCTCAAGCGCAATATCGTATTGATTCGTACCACAGGAGTTATAAATACGACGATAACGAAGCAAAGTCTAAATTTTTTGCAGCGATAGCTCTCTATCGGACCCAAGCTTAGTGAAATTTTTTTGGAAAAGGTTTTTTTGCAAAGTATCCCAGAAGAGAAGCTCGGCCAAACACTAACATATGTGTAAGCGCCAATCTGTTATTATTATTATTATGCCAGTGAAATATTTATTGGCAGTTTTACCTACCGACGAGGACCGAGCTGTACTTCAACTATTCGAAAGGTCTCTAGAACAGTATTCCGCACAGGGGTTTTCCATACATAGCCATTAAGGAACTAGCTTTCAATACCAATACAAGTATAAAATATATAATTTGTTGGTTCAATCTATCCTTTCCTTTTTATTACAAGCTTTTTTTATTTTTATCAGATATTCGATTATTCAAATTATCCGGATATTCAAAAAATCCTACTTTTATTTGATATTTATATGCCCAGTTCTAATACATGGAATGGAATGTAATGGAATTGTGGGTGGCCGGAAAATCCAAAAACAAATTTTTCCAAGCACTCAAGCAGTATTGCTCATTGTACTTAAGGCCAAGAAACAGGATTTAGAGGAAAGGGATATGTAGGTGGGGTGGGAATTCATTACTCCTCTGCAAACTTACTAGACTCCTTTGTGAATTTTAACAATTTGTTGAGGGAAAGAGAATGTACGTCGTCCATTGTCAGTACATCAGACCCAAAAATGTACCATCTGAGTCTGGCGAAGGCCGGACAGCGGCAGAGAAAATGTTCTGTACTATCCTCGTCCTCCAAATACGATGATGCCTATGGTGACCATACGTCGTCCGCATGGATTGTGCTCCGTAATCAGTCCTACCAGGGCTCGTAGATCACTCCTTCTTTGTCTGAGAAGAAATTTTGCTACCACCCTGTCAGGCCTTTTCAGGAAACCCTTGGTTGTTTTGCAGGTATCAATAGTGCACCAACTGCTCTCATGAGTTTTGCTTATGAGATCCTTGATGCACCGGATCGTTCCCGCTATGCTTGGTCCTACAATTGGCTCCGGTCCAATTGGGTGCTCCAGAGAACCGCAGTTCGCCAATTCATCAGCCAGTTCGTTACCTTGAACACCGTAGTGTCCTGGCACCCACACAAGTTCAAGCTCATTCCATTTTGTAACGGAGTTCAGCCTCAACTTACATTCCTGGACTAACTTTGAAGAGGTTCGAGCGGTTTCCAGTGCCTTTAAAGCAGCTTGGCTGTCACTGCAGATCCTGATTTTATGTCCGCGCCACCTTTCGCCAGTTATTCCGTCTGCCACTTTCAGTATTGCAAAGACTTCCGATTGAAAGACCGTTGTCATTGCACCCAAAGCGGTAAAGCATCTGAAGTTTCCGTCCAGATGCCATCCAGCTCCAGTACCGTTTTCATTTTTTTAGCCGTCAGTATAGAAAGTTTTCACCGATCTTCCCTAGAGAGTGTCTGGATCTCTCCATTGTTCCCTTTTAGGAAATCTAACGACGTACTTTCTACCAAAAAGAGACTCTAGGTATCTATCTAGATTTGTCATTTGGTGCCAAAAACAAAGGATATTGCTCTGACAACCTTCTGAATAACTCTCTGTGCCCAGAGCTCCGATCGTTGTGCCACAGACCAAAAGAGTGCAGTGGACACATCGTTTTCATATCCTCCTCTTCGATCGCTAAATCCAGAGGCGACAAATTCAACAAAGCATTAAGAGCCGGTCCTGACGTTGTACTCATGGCGCCCGTAATGCCTCTACACACACTCCTTTGTAGCCCGTTTAGCACAGAAGCTGTGGTTTTGACCATGGTTCTGCGCCACCATACTACAGCAGAATACGTGACGATTGGCCTGACTAAAGCTATGTATATCCAAAATACCACAGCCGGTCTCAGACCCCAGGTCTTGCTAAAGGTTCTTCGACACTGTCCGAAAACTTTCAGCGCTCGATTTACCTTCAGCTCGACGTGAGTTTTCCATGTCAGCTTCGTATCTAGAGTTACCCCTAGATATTTAACATCCACGGAAAGGCTTAAGTTTACGCCTCTAAGCACTGGAAGGTAGATACCTTCCACTTTTCTTTTCCGCGTAAACAGGACTAGGGTTATCTTGCTGGGATTGACAGCAAGACCCTGCAAAGTGCACCATTTATCAATCTTATTCAGGGTTCTTTGTGTCTTAACACAAACCTCCATGAGAGATTTACCTGATGACAGTGCATAGACATCATCCGCGTAAGCCATTGCGTACTCACCTGCTTCCAGCCCCACCTCGATCTTTGTTACAAGGTCATGTTGGGCTGATTCACAGGATTTACCGCTTTGGTATGCATGTTGATGAACACTAAGGGGTCTATTCATCAAAACCCTTGATCTGAATGAAGACTACCCTGACTTTTCTCCAAAGAGTGGGAACGTGGCCCAGTGCCAGACAGGCCCTAAAGACCCTTATTGGGGCCCCTACAAGCCTGTCTCCCCCACACTTTAGCATTTTCGGATACACACCATCTGGTCCCGGTGACTTAAAGTCGTCAAAAGAGGCTAAAAAAACCTCACTGACTCCTCAGCCACCACCCGTGATGCTATGTACCAGTTTAGTCTAGTGGCTTTCCGACGCGCTATCCTCCACCATATCTCTTTCCTGCTACCCGGAAAGTGAGTTTCCAGGAGAGTTTTGTATGTCTCTAGCAGCGCCGTGGTATAAGTTCCATCAGATTTTCTAAGAGAATCAAGCCTAACCGTCAGGTCCTGTTGAAGTACCTACACAGCCTGGCATACTCTTTCATGTTGTCGATATCACTGCAGAAGTCTTTATAAGAGCTCAATTTTGACTTGCGAATTTGCCTCTTATATTCCTTCTGCACGATATGATATTCGCACCAGTCTTCCCCTTTTCGGGGTTTTAAAGCCCTATTCAGAAGTCTCCTAGACCTTTTTCGAAGTTTGGTGAGTTCAGCGTTCCACCATGGGTCCGCTTTTCCCTGCCTTATTCTTCTTAGCGGACATACTTCCCCAAAACAACCAATCAAAGTACTCGTTACCTCGCGGGTCGCTTCTTCAATTGATTTAATGTTTTTGAGTTTATGGAGATTTGGTATTCTCGTTTCAAGGAGCAACCCAAACTTTTCCCAGTCCGCCTTTCGAGGATTCCGACCTTTTGGCACTTGACAAGTGTCAATTCCTAGCCGAAGCTCGATGAATCGATGATCTGATAGAGATTCGAAATCTAAGACCAACCATCCTTTGATATGATCCGCCATAACTACATTGGTTAAGGTTAGATCTATCACTTCTTGTCTTCTGCTAGTGACAAAAGTAGGTTTGTTACCCACATTCTGTATTACCAATTCAGAGGACAGAATGCAGTCTAATAGCTTGTTCCCACGGAAGTTGCATTTCGTGCTACCCCATATAGTTTTTTGTGAGTTCGCGTCGCACCCACTATTAGGCCCCTACCATTTGACTCGGCGTACTGCACGATGTCCATAATCTCCCTCAAAGGAGGGGGGACTATAGAATCGTATGGCA